GCCGAACTGCAGATAGCAGTCAGCTGAAGTGGCCTGCAGTACTGCACTCTACCCACTGCGCCACCTCGGCTCTCTTATATCTTCTCACCCGGTCTCATGCCTTCATCCAGATGCCGCTCCTGGACCGATGCTTAGTACAGTTGTCCCAATTTGGTGACTGACATTTTGCAATGTCCCCTGCACCCCTGACGCCGGATAGAGAGAGAGCCAGTCTCTGGCCTGCGAGGATCCGATTTTGTTCCTCTTGGATGCTCGAGACGCAGCTCTGTTTTTACCATCCCTACGAGACACTTCCAGTCCAAAGACTCCCGGAAGGCAGTTTTTCAGTCCTGGGTTTCGTGGCCCTCGTCCTGCTTTCATTTTTGATCCTACATCTTCTCCAGAAACCTCAGGGAGAATCCAGAACCGCAGCAGAAGATCCTTGTTCCTTAGTTGAAATAGATCTCTAGGTGGATTTCATGCTCCGTGTCTCTCTTCTCTGTTTTAGCCTCCAGGAAACGGATAAATCTCCCCACAAGTTCCTTATCTATCTTTGCCTAAGTCTTTGCTGCCCCCATCTAAATTCCTTAAGGCGTTTTGCTTGAGTCATCTTCCAAAATACGTCTTGCCTTGAATCTCTCATTTCCTGTTTGCTTCTACTAGAAATATCTGATCATTCAGACACTGTCCCAAAATTGTGTATTTGTGGGGCTTCTTCTATTAAATTAGTCCTTGACAGGCAATATTTCAGTCCCTGGCTCCCCCCAATGGTCAAGCAGCATCAATGCACGGGTCTCTTTTGGCATGAATATTATTTGGCAAAATTTAGTTTACAATTAATCAAATCATAAAACCTACGCAGTGGCCATGAGATACAAGGAAAGAAGAGGATGAGGAGAAATAGATCTATAGGGTCTCCTGCTTGAGCAGGGGGTTGGACTAGAAGACCTCCAAGGTCTCTTCCAGCTCTGTCATATGATAGATGATTGATTGATTGATTGACTGATAGGTGTATGGGTGGATGGACGGAGAGACGGATGGATATATATACACACCCAAAAACATACTGTAAATATACTCATACATATAGCATAGATACTCATCTATACACACTCACACACACACACACTATAAGCAGTAAAACCTGTTGTGACTTTAAATTCCCTGAGTCCTGTGTCTTCCAAGAACCTGATGTGTCTCATTGTTTGGCTGAAAGTGATTTGAGTGTGGCAATTTTCCATGGCTGTGAATGTGGGAGGGAGTAACCGTCAGATAAGGTAGCAAGCACTCGCTAACCTCTTTGTCTTTTGACTGGAGAATTCCCTTTTCCATATTCCCTTCTTTCCACTAAGTCCAAAGTTCATTTTGATGTCACTCCTGAACCATCTTCAAGGGGGGGAAAATAGGAAAAGCACCTTTGGGGCAATCCATTTTGGGATAGATTCATTTTAGTTACAGACATGGCAAAACAACACGGGGTTGATTTTTTAAAAATCTCCATGTTGATTTTATAAGTTGATAATGCTACATGTTTGAGAGAGAGAGTGAAGCATTTTAATATAACATTTTTGATTCATTAACTATATTGTTTCTCATCCTGAAAATCTCTTGGGAACAGAAATTCCTAAGTTGAATTTCCAGATTGTTGAACTTCTTGGGGGTTTCTGGAACAATATTTTTCATTGTTGCATCCAATGTCTATGTAGCTTCTCAGTTCTCCCAAAGGTGCTTTTTTTCAAAAGGCAACCGGGCTTTCTTGTTTTTCTTTGAAGATGTTTCGCGTCTCATCCAAGAGGCTTCTTCAGTTCGGACTGTTGCCTCTGATCTTCTTTATTAGGAAAAAGAAAGAGATGAAAAATATCCCTGCTATTTTGCTCAGGAAAAGCGCGAAGAAGAGAACAAAGGGGGAGAGTTGTAAATCTGAGGCTGTGGAGGAAAGAAAACATTGGATTGTTTTGATTTAATCATAATCTCAGTTTGGGGAAGACGGGCGGCCAATAAATTTTAGAAACCAAATAAAATAATAAAATAAAGCCTGCTCCATCATACATTTCATCACAGTACAATTAAAAAAAACATGAAAACAGCAGACAGTGTTCACTCCCTTACATGTTTTATCCACTCAAGTGCATGAGATCAGCTATCTTCATTCCATCTACAGATAGCAACAGCACTTAGATTTATATACTGCTTCACAATGCTTTGCAGCCCTCTCTAAGCGGTTTACAGAATCAGCCTCTTGCCCCCAACAATCTGGCTCCCCATTTTACTCGCCTCGGAAGGACGGAAGGCTGAGTCGACCTGAAGCCTGGCGAGATTTGAACTGCCAAATTGCAGGCAGGTGGCACTCAGCAGAAGTAGCCTGCAGTACTGCACTCTAACCACTGCGCCACCTGGCTCAGATGGTCCTTAGTAAAGCTACATCTGAAATCCTGCATCCAGTTTTGGTCGCCACACTATAAAAAAGATGTTGAGACTCTAGAAAGAGTGCAGAGAAGGGCGGCCTATAAATCTTAATAAAATGAAAAAAAATGAAATGAATGACTAGCTGATAAAATCAGGAGGTAGAAAAAGGGAAATATGTGAAAGGATCAGTGATACAAGAAAGATAGGTTAACTTGGCTAAGTAGATAGTAAGATTATTGCGGTTATTAATATTAATATAACTGATACTAATGTAATGAATATTGTTGTAAACACTTTGATTATTATTTTTTACTAGTGGAAAACCCAGTGTAGCCAAAGTATGTATTTATCCCAATCCTGTATTATAGGGAGCAACCTTGTGGAGTACTGCGAAGCTGTTACCGTGCCAACTCTATTGTGCTGTACAGTGGAAGCCATTTTAAGGCACAACAGGCTGCATCTTAACAGAACTTGAATCTAAAATGCACACGATCACTGTCAAAGGTACTGTGACTTGACACAGTAGATATAATTGAGTCCTTTTCATTTCAGCGGCCCAGGTGTTCCGGCGTTATGCTGGAACACACACACACGTTTGTGTGTGCATGAGTGATTGAACCCAGACAACACACTTTTCAATTGAAACAGTTGGTTTTGCAATCCAGCATGTTGACAGAACTTTGTTGTGAAGAGGAAATGCAACAGAAAACACAGATATTCCCAAGAAGGGGCTCCGTATATGACAAGCCCTTCCTTCTGAAGTTCCACTATCATAAAACCTTAAGTATATTAAGCTTAAATTGTATAAAGACAATTTAAATCGTGACATATTAAGGAGTAATACAATCTAATTTTTTTTTAAAATGATCTGAAAAACAAAGGGAAAAACTGCAAGGTGTAAATTCCCAGAAGAAAACAGAAGACATTTACCTCCTTTCATTTCATCTTGTTGCGTAATGAAGAGTGTGATGATTGTGTTGACCAGAGGCTGGGAGTCGTGCTGGACCTGGCAAAGGAACACGGAGGAGTTCCTCTCTTCGCTGGCCATCATCTCTAGGCTGCTTTTGAGGGAAAAAGTCCCATCCGGATTCGAGCTCTTCGGGCCAACCGTTCCTCTTCTGGTTGGGGCATCCTTGGCAAACAACTCCAGTGTTTCCCCATCTGGGTAAAAGCTTTCTGCGTTGCAAGTGACCGTCACGGTGGTGTTCAGCGGGACGGGAGAAGGTGGGCTGGTCTCAAGACGCACCTTGGGAGGAACTGAGCAAAGAAAGCCAAAGAGGTCGGTCAAAAGAGCTTCAGACTCCTGGTTCCTGCCTGCAGAATAGGGTGGAAGTCCAAAGTGATTCTGCTCACCCGTTGTGGCATCGGGGAAATAATTCCAGGACAATTGGGATTAAAATATATCTCCCCAATTGGGAACTCTACTCAACTTGACCCAGGTCCCTGGGGAAAGAGCCGGAGGTATTGCGTTTGTTGGGAGTATACTCCTAGTGTTGGGTAGG